ATGCGCGGACGACGGATTGTAGTGCCGGTTAGGTAGACTCGATGCATACACACACACACTACTAACATGTCATTTTAATACTACTAAAACAATCCAATCAAATATTTCAAAAAGAAATACCTAGACAAAACTTCTAGAAATTCTATCCCGCGTGTAAAATGATTGTCTCGTGTGTTTTGAAATGAAGATGAAGCACAGGAGAAAAAAAGGAAAAGCAGCAAAAAGCAAAAAGCAAAAAGCAAAAAGCAAAAAGCAAAAAGCAAAAAGCAAAACGAAAAGCGTGCGTGTTTCAACGGCACTTATCAAAAGGGGTGGCACTGGATGAGACAATGACCAGGTTTGTTTGCTTCCTACCTTATTATTTTTCTTTCCCTTCCTCGAAAACTAACATCTCCGGTCTACCGTATGCGATTACCTAAATTCGGTGGCATGTCATAAATGACAGGTCGTATTTCTTCACGGCAAACACATATAATACCTAGTAGGACAGTGTATAAAACTCCCTTGGTACTTCATTTCACTTGCATATATTCTTCATGTACATCTGCACAAATTTTCCAGCACCCCGGATTGGTACCGATTCCATGCCACCGTAACTACAAGTGTGACGCATTTATTACAAGAAGAAAACTTGCTGTATTATCTCTTCGCTAAATAACATCTCTCGAAACACCTACTTGATCTGTATAATACAACAAATGTCGTCAAGTATTCTCTAAAATGTTCAATGACAAGACAGGTAAAAAATCAAACTCCTAAAATCTTACATTCTGTTCCCAGACAAGAGGAATGGCTAAAAATGGAACTCGGTCAAGCAAGCCGGAGAGAGGAGTCTCTTCCTAGTATTCGCGTGTCCGAATGTCGCAGCGTCTACGTATTAGCCTGTCTAAGTGCTTACAGAGCTTGCACAAGTTATGCAAATTTCATTTTAATGCAAACAGATTTTCTTGTATAATCAGGACGATAGCCACTTTGTCTTGAGTCTTGACTCTTTACTATGCATATTCTCGAGTATTCAAGCCTCCACGAATCTCGCGCGCCATCGCGTGCTTCAGATAGTGTGTTTTACATTTTACATACATCTTCGGATAGCGAGTACCGAGATGATCCCCTCTTCCATAGTTCTCATCAACGTCAAATCATCAGATGTCATCTACGACGACCCTGTCAGAAGCAAACTTTGGTCATGTAATCAATGAGTATGTCGTCGCTTAGATTTGATGATATCCCATGAATCCAGCCCCCCGGAATGCCAATCATCATCATCATCGACCTCATCTACCAATACAGGCCGGCATCCGCACCGTGCTCTTTAAACCCGGTCCCCTCATTACTCTATCCATGCAGAAATGGGGACCGAATAAGTGATACATTAGTTTGCCAATTAAGGTTGCTGCATGGGCAAGACTTTAAGCTTTCGGCCGGCGTTGAGACCAGGCTTGTCCAGGTCTGGTTGCGTTGAAACGATGCCCTGTTAAGCTCAACGCATAGGCGACGTTGACACACGGCACCTAGAAAATATGCTCAACGCCTGTGTCTCGTCTGATGTCAAGATGAGATGACAGTGCCCCATTGCCGGCGCCTACAAACCATCTACAATGTAGTAAGCAGCTAAAGTTGACTCAGATTTAGCGTGGCCACTCTTAACTCCGGGGGGCCAACCCAGATACTCGGCTTGTTAGGTACCTCCTAGTTGAAGAGTTCGTTGGACGAGATTTGCTGGATCATGTCGTCTTACGATTTTAGTTCTGGACCATAGCTCGAAGCCAAACTTCGTGATAGGCCAGCCATATCGAGATCATCACAGCCCACAAGTACGGCCGAAACCCTGTCAGTCCTCTCTTTTGGGAATACTGACTCGACAACGACCTGATCACTGGGCCTTCGAATCTACATACTCATCGATCATTGTTCTTCTCCCTACATACACGCCATAAACCAATTCCTCTAGGCCATAGTAGAGCCCAAGCTAGCGGTTCCGGTTGCCACAAACATGCTATATCTGCAGGGAACGCCCTGGATAACATCAGGCAATAGTAACAGCTACCAAATCAAACCGAAGGTGATAGCTCCTCTTCAACGACACGGACCATATTCTGTATTTCAATATGAATTTCCCTGTGTCTTAGACCTCAATTCTTCAGAACAGGGTTTCATTTCACCAAGGTGTCTACCACGTGTTTCCGCCTCGAGACATCGTTTACACTTTCCTATCCCTCGCATGCGAAGGTAGTTCTGCGGTTAGGTGTGGAATACCCGCGGCATCTGTGTCTTATTAATACACACGGTTGGCATCAAACCCGGTTGGTTACGATGGAACCGCCCCTAGTAAAGTCGAACCGCGGACTGACGACTTCACACTGAAGCGCTTAACGAGCTTCATGGAACTTGTGGAGATATGTCTACCTCCAAGGCAGCTAGGCAACTACGACCAGTAACATGATAGCATTCATTCGATGATGCCATCATCAAGGGCAATTCTATTATCTTCTCTTATCCTGCGAATGCCATAGACACTGTATACAGTTTCGGTCAACCCTGGGACAACTTGCAGCCGCGGCTCATTGATAGACAGCCGAGGTATCGCGAATAAACTTCAAGGAGCATCCCGATTTCATTCCAGCGGAACCAACCCGGGTCGTCTAGGATCTGCTGTGGCTCATAATATGCTGTCGTAGTGGGCAGGCCTTTCTTTGTTGTCCTGTTGTGTAGCCTCGCTCGCTCTTATACTTGTGCGACATGGCTTGATAGCTATCCTCTAGATACCTTGCAAGGCTTCGTCCACGGCAGATTAGGTGGTGGACCAGCAATCCTGGATAGTCCTACATAAGATTTCGCCCGACGGTTATCTAGCTAAGAGGGATCACAGCAGCATCGCCACATCTCACCGGCTGTTTTGACCCCGCCCCAATGAGTCACAGAATAGGTAGTCGGCGAGGTCTTAATACTGGTATCGTTACTGTTGTTCGCTCTACCGACTCGGCGTTCATCCACCCCTTGGATGTCCGAGATGCAGCACTACCAGTTACACTAGATCCCCTTCTAGGTTTACGAAAATATTCATACCTCGCAGTGAATATTCGCTACATAGGTGTGATTCCAAGGTATGCGTTTTGTCTGGGGCAAACATCGTGAGAACCATTGACTGAACATGACACAACCCGTTGCCGGTATCATCTTCACCAACGTATCTGCATATCAAATGAGTTTCAGTCGTCATATTTACTGAGCGGTCCAGGCCTTCAAGGCTATCTGCATCTTCTGGGTAGCACGGTTTGTTCGCTAGCCGAAACTACTTTGTAACACGTTGGATTGGCGGTCAAACAACATACCATTAGTCGAACGTCGTTAATTTCGTATCTTGGACTCGAGCCGGTGTCGCTGATGGTTGGCCCGAAAAGAGGTAGGTAGGTAGTTTCATTGTATACAATGACTCCCGATTTCATAGTATACGGAACTAATATCTTCAGGCCGAAGTATATTCCTGTTACAACTTGTAATCCTTAACGGACTGAATGCACCTTCCAAAATTGCTTGTGACAATGGGAAGGGAATCAAGACATCTAATCCCCCAAGTGGAGTGTGAATAAACTCTGAGCAGTTCAATCAGCATACATAGATTGGTAAGATATAATCTGTCAATTTGAATCCCACATTCGAACCCTAAGCACCACTATCATGGAGTTGAACCCCTCCTCTCACCATCTCTTCACTCCCATCTCAAGTCCATCCCCCAAGCATACCTTCACGGCTCTGTCGTCTCGTCTCCTCATCATCCCCAGGTACCCCCCTGACCAACCTCCTGTCCCTCTCCTTTTGGACCGGCCTCAACCCATCCCTTTGTCTAAAAACCTGTCTCCTAGCTCTCTTCCTGTTATTCCGCGAGCGTCGCGGAGCAATCTGCTGCGGCCACTCGCACACGGGATCAAGCCACCTCTCCGTGAGCAAAGACGAAGTAGAGCACGGAGTATTCGACCTCGACGTGTTCTTGTTCTTGACGGCGCCGCTGCTGCTCTTCCCTCGCGACCCCAAGATGTGCTTCCAGCAATGGGAGAATATGCAGACTCCCGCGATGAGCAGCACAACGCAGATGGTTCCTACTACCATCGCTATGACGAATGTCTTGGGGAAGTTGGCTGGAACTGCGGCTTCGCTTTCAGGCTGCTGGCTGCGAGATAATTTGATAGGTAGTGGAATCATGTTAATGATGAAACTTCTAAGTGTTGCTGCTCAGTTGAAATAATATAGGTTTCTCAACGTTGAAGCTGAAGCTGATGCTTAATTTTTCTTTCTTCTCTGGTTGGACATGAATCGGGTTATCTGGACCCAGAGGCCTCGAGAAGAGAAGTCTCGAGGTAGACAAGTCCTGCGTAAAGAGCGAGCCGCATCTTTTTGATATCGCATCCATTCCTAGCGGAAGTCGCCCCCTCTTGCTATGATTTCTCAACGCATGGCGACCATGGCCGGATACGAGCCGTGATGCAGGTTAATATGAAACCTAATCGGGTGCACTTACATAAAACTTAGGATTGACATGAGTTTAAATCAATGTATGCCCACTTACACGCAGCTCCAGAGCTAGGGTTCCCCTTCACTTGACACGTATGTCCAACTCCAAGATACATCTTCTTAGTTTTCGATTCTCGTATCCCGGTGATAGCAATAGGGGCGAAGACGATAACAACAGCTGGCCCGACGTCCATGACACGGTAGGCACGTCCGGAAGAAGCCTATTTCATTCGGCGAATGCGTTATTAGAGAAGCCACGAGAAATTCTATATGTCGATACATGTAATGCGGGTAACCAGGGAGCTGAGCTGTCACATGCGGTACGAACAAAAGGTAATTCTGATCTTCCATCCTTATCCAACCCTTCCTTATATCGATACGTAGGTACGTACATATTTATATAGCCATGTCTATAATAAGTTTCTACGCCGTATATAATAATCTTGGGGCAGTGTGTGAAGGGAAACCAAAAGAAAAAAAGTAAATATTCGTGACAAGACGGGGATTCGAACCCCGGCCCCTTTCGGGATTAGGAATCTCTTAGAAGAGAAGAAGAGATATCATCTTAACAGAATCATCTACTTGAATCTAACGCCATAGACCGCTCGGCCATCTTGCCTATTCTAGCCATCATTATAAAACTATCATATAAGCACGATGAAAAAGCCCACGTTCCAGACCGGCAAAGCTTAGAAGAAGAATTGTGTTTTACTTACATAGGACCCTGAGGGAAAGGAGCAGACCCGCAACGCTAAGTTGTAGTATAGCCCTAAGTCTTGGGTCACCGAGGGCAGAGCCGCAAGCTATGAACATCGAGACCGCGCCTAGTAGCTCACGATATTAATCTGCCCAACGACAAAATTTTCATCGGTTCACCAGATTCAAGCGGGGGTAACTCAGTTGGGAGAGTGTCAGACTGAAGCTTCAACTTCAATCATATAATCTGAAAGTCGTGCGTTCAATCCGCACCCACCGCAAGATTTACTTTTTGCTTTCCGCCCAAGTCGGTTCTAGCAAGCTAGTTATGATATATATGTCTGTATAAGTGCCACGCATGTACTCAACCTATATTAGATCTAGGCATCTGTATGTTTGTATATTTTTGCTAACCTACCTGTTTTGTTGCCGTTATGGACTCTGGTTCACGGGCTTTCAAGTAGCGGTGATATTGGTCTTATACGAAGAAGCAAACAAGGGGAGGGAGGGAGGTCGACGCAACGCCTACTAGGGTCCTTTTTCTTACAGATACGGGAGGAAAAGGAAGTTCAAATCGAACATTGGGTACCTATGCACATGAAAGGCACAATCTCAATTTACCAATTTTTTTCTCTCAAGTTTACCGTCCATGGACCAGATGAGATTGGTCTGTGATGAGCCTGATGATGTAGCGATAACGCGGTCATGGAGCAAAAGGACGCCCGAAGCATTCCCTCTTCGGCGAAGAGAATCAGTGCTAGAGTTTTGAGTTACGGGGGAAAAAAGAAGCAAAAAGAGAAAGAAATTGTCTTAACAAGAGGCCCCGCCGAGGATTGAACTCAGGTCTCAGGAATTTTCACGTCAAAATCCTGCGTGCTAACCACTACACTACGCGGCCGATGATTGGATAGACGCTTGGCTCGTTATTCTTACCTATTAGTTCATACACTAAAGATGGATTCGGCCATACACACAAGAGACACTATATGAAGGTGGGTGACATGCGTGTCTAGTGGCTCTGGTACACTTGACCAACAACAAGCTACAATATCACAAACGAACGAACATGGAAATCAGAGAAAACATCTGAATCGAAGTAACGAAGGGGTATTTATCACTTCTCAACACGACTACCATTACATATTAATGACTAGCTACACCTAGTTACCTAGTCTCCACTCTCTCCCCCCTTATTCTCCCCGCCCACCAAATATTACGAAGGGTATAATTCCTCCTCTTAACTCCTCATCCACCTACCAGGTATCTCTCTTCAAAGCGAGCGAAAGGGGTATATAGGCAGTGTAAATAATAATATTGCGACCGTCCCAACCAAGATCCGATCCCAACATATCAATAATATCGTGTAAGCGGTACATATCTCGTGACGACCCATCACAAAATCATCACGTCGTTATAAAAAGAGTGACAGGCCCAGCCCACCATGCATTCGTAACGCCAAACCAGGTTGGGGGGACTTGAGTTTTAATTATAGGTAGGTATGCGAATAGTTAGACCAGGCGGCTCGCGGGAAAGACCTGCAAGCGACATTCAACGCGAAGCGAGGCCGCGCAAGGAATTAGCTCGCTCCTCTCATTTCTTGTTTTTCGTCCCGTCGTCTCTAAGCAGCCTGCTCGCCGACGACCGGCGCGGCCGGGGCAGTCGCGGTCTTCTCGGGGAAGGTGCCGGACTGGGGAACACGGCCGTAGCGGGTGAAGGCGATGTTGAGTCGGCCGTAGTCCCATCTTCTGGAGAGGAAGAGGAAGGCAAATGACAAAACGGGGATCAGCAGGACATCCAGGATGCCGAAGAAGATGTAGGCGGGCGTGACGCCGATGCGGTTGCCGCCGTCGGTCAGACCGAATGCGATCGGGTACAGGAGCCACAGGAGGTTGATCCATCCCGCGAGCACGGTGTGGTCGCCGGCTACCTCGACGCGTCGGGCGGAGGTGGTGCCCTCGACTAGGGTGTTGAAGGCGAGGAGAATCCAGGCAGTCGTTCCAAAGGCGTAGAAACCCCACTTGTAGTTGGAGGTTGTGAATGCGGAGACGAGGTACGAGATGACCCTGCTTCGAGTTAGCTTCATATTTTCATCTCATCTTACCCCTATATACCTAGTGGGTATGTATCGTAGTTGCTTACCAAGTCCACGACAGAGCAATGTTATAGAAGATGGTAGCCCAAGAGACGCCGCTCAGCAACCCGAGAGCAATCGTGACGACGGGGAAGCTGACAACCCAGTTGACGTATTCGGCCCAGAAGATCTGTCGCACCCATCCGTCGACGGGCTTGTGGTTGGCAACCGGGATCGCGACGTAGCCTAAGTCAGAGGCAATGGCGAAGTAGCTGATGGAACCGACGAGCAGGGCGATGGTGAAGAGGTAGTGGAAGATCTTCTCGCCGGATCGGGCCACGAAGCTCGAGGCGTAGAAGACGAGGAAGGAGACGACGTAGATTGCCGTCACCGCCCACAACCAGTCACTGCCGTTCACGCTCAACTCCTCATTTCCAGCCGGGGGGTTGATGTTCAGGGCGTCATTCGCACGATGGAATAGGATCGCCATTATGATTGTTTGTATTATATTAGGCAAGCCTAAGTAAGTGATTTGAAGTAAGGAGAAGCTTCACTTTCAATGTGAGTAAAGGAAGTAGTAGGTATTAAGTCTGATATAGCCTTTGGATCACGGTACTTGCTGTGATTTGCTGATTGACTGAAACTGAACGAGTAAGAAACGAAGGGGGGGACGAGGCTTCTATTATATAGTGAGGCAATGCCCCCCTCCCTGGCAACGAGCATCGATGATCGAATGCAGCAGCATCGTTGCAACACCGCGAAAGCCGGAAGACCGACTATTGGCGATGAGTCAATGAGCAAAGAAAGTGAAGCGGTTGTAATAGAAAGCCGAGATCCGCACGAAGGTGTTCCGCCTAGATGCGATCATATGATCCAACCAATCTCTCTCTCTCTCATCTCTGAATGGGTGGCCATGGAATCTTCCACAAGGGTGCGGACGACACAGATCACGACGGATCATAGTGATGCGTTTGTGGCATGGGATAGACTATGTACATTGTTACCCACTTCGGAGCTCATGGAACGGAAGTGTACGGAACAGCGCGGCATCAGAAGACCCAGGAGGGAAAGGGGAGAAATTTCTGTATGCAATAAAGGCCTTTGTAGTACTGTACATGGATCTCGAGCCAATATGGTTGGCGATCTTTCAGCCCTAGTGTGGAGAAGCTACAGAATTTCATAGCTACTACAAGAACGTGGCAGCTTGCAACCGGTTCAATATAGTATGGTGTTAGTATAGTACTGTATTAGTAAATGTTTGATGAATATCCTCCTTGAATACGGTTCCGTGCAACTCTCCATCTGTCTTGCTAATGGAGGAAACGGCTTGGACATCTTACAAATGATATTGGAAAGGCGAGGAACAAGATGATTTCATCAAAGGAGAGCAGAGTTTGACGCTGGGGTCCAGTCAGCGAAATGCAAGGAATGCTCGGTAATCGCGACAAGATGCGAACGGATCAAAGATGTTAGTCATGGTGTTGTCGAACGGCTAAGGCCTTTGCCTTGGTCGTCGGGAATGGCGACATTGGTGGGTTTTCCGCTTCACGGCAGCATCGGATAAGCTAATACTAATAGCAACAAGATGCAAAAAGAAAATTGGACTGCAACATTGATAGGTCCCCACCGAATGCTCGACCACGTTCTGTCCAAAAAAGGAAATGGGGCAACACCCAGATACAGCTTAGCATCGTGAAAGCAATGCCGGAGCTTGCAGGGTGAAGCTTCGAACCCTTGGGACCTCCCCATGAAGACCGGAAGGCATGGCACGGTAGAACGACTGGGCAGACGCAGAGTGGCGTCGACTTGACGTGACGTGACGTGATGCTTGGTCGAGAACCTTTTACATAGAAATGAAGTGTTAGAATATATTACCTTCCCCAATACCACTTCTTGTAGTAGGAGTGTAGTAAAAGAAATGAACGACAAGAAGTTCGCCAGGAGAGAATCCTCAGTCCTCATCGACGATCTTGAGGCCAAGATGTTGTCCTCGCTTCGACATGCTCTTGGCTCTGTTCGTCGAGTTCATCATTACTCTGAAAGTTAGGAGTCGGAGAGGAGGGGGACTTGGAGAACGAGACCTTTGGACCACTGAGAGCCTCAATTGCCTGCATGTCTCTACATTGTACAGCTTTGCCCCGGCTTTCACGGAATGGACCATTCATCGAGGATGCAACGCTAGACTTGTCTAAGATGGCGATCTACCTTGCAGGTGTCATGCCACCAGTCGAGGCTTTTTTCTTCTTTTATTGTTTTCTACCCTGGCAGCCTGGTCAGTCCCGGCAGAATATTGTAGAACATGGATTTTGTTTGAACGGTCTTCCGGTCCCATGCCACGTTAGGGTGGCCGGACACATAGACCACTTCTAGTCGGGAGCTGCCGAGGACTCCGGAGTTTCTGGACCTGAGGATTACGAAATCATTAGTATTTGAAGATGTTGTTCAACAAATGACTGGCAACAGACGATTGGCGAATTAGGTAACACATCTCCATCTCTCAGTCATTACCGAAGCCAGCCGACGTAATGCAGGCGACCAAGACGGGCGTAAGGGCTTGCAGCTCACATATGGCAAAAGTGGCATATAGAAAAATGATCTTCCCAGTCCCAGTCCCAGTCCTCGTCAATGCAGCTTTCTCCTCAGACTCTCCTCCTGAATTTTATTGGGCAACCCTTTTAACATGCCTGCATGTGGCTTTGGCAAGACCCCCTACTCGCTGCCGTACCGAACCGGGAACGCCAATCGCTGAATCATACCCGCCAGCCCGCTGCTACACCATCACGAAACCTAGCAAACCATCTCGCCCGTGTCGCCCGTGTCGCCCGTGTCGCGCATGCTGCCCATATCATTGG